CTGAAGATTTTGCCGAAGATTTATATAATGATAATAATAGTAATACGAATAGTAATTATAATAATGGCCAATTTGATAGCACTTGTGAGTTTTTAGAAAGACACGCCGAATTATTTGGTGACGATAGATTCGCTGATGTTACATTTAGATTGGATTGTGGATCGACCGTCAAAGCAAGCAAAATATTAGCTGCAGCACATTCAAGATATTTTAAAAATCTTTTGAGCGGTGATTGGGCAGAAACTAGGAAAGGGGAAGTAGTAGAAATAAAGGATGTGAGCAAAGAATCCTTTAAGTTAATTTTATATTATTTCTATTCAGGAAAAATTTCAATATCTCCTGATAATGACGATCAAACCATTGGAGTATTGAAAGAAACATATATCAAGTGTGACATGTGGGGAATCGATCGTCTTTTGATTTTGATACGAGAACAATTAATTAAAAGATTGAGTAAAGACAATTGGGATGTATTGTTATTGTTAAGTTATAAGTTTGACGACAAAAAATTAAAAGACAAAATTTTAAGCTTCATATCAAAGAATTATCCAGAAATCGACAATACTATAAACATCAAGAGATTTGTTGACGAAGCAGAAGTGGAATGGGTCAGGGAAATGATGTTTTCGACATTCTTTGATATTTAGAATATTTATTACCATTCATTACCATATATTTATTTGTTTCACGATTTAAACATATTAATCAATCAACGGTTTATTAAATTTATTTGGAAATTTATTACAATTATTTCTAAAATAAAAATGAATTGAGTGAGGTGTTTTTTTATACATATAACATAAATGAAAATAGATTTTCTGTTAAATTTTTTATTATTATATTATTATTTTTATAAGTTTATAGAATTCTATATTTTATATATATTAAGTAATAATTAAATTAATTAATCTTTGAAATAATTTTTCTTGTTCTCAAATTATATTTAATTTTCAAGGATGAATCGTTATCAATAATATTATTTATAGTTGATGTTTTTGTTGGTGTTTTTGTTACAATTAAATTATTGTCTTTTTTGATAATTTTTATGTTATTTGTATCATCATCAATAAAATTAGTAATACATTGATTATTATATAAATTTTTTTTATTGTTATTATGATTATTATTATAAATTTTAGTAGTAATATTAGTAGTATTGTTAGTATTGGCATTAATGCTACAAGGCATATAAGTCCCAAGAATTCTATCCCAAAATGTAAAAAACGGTTGAGAATAATTCATCTTTATTCCATAAACCTGATGATGGATATCATGACTTGAGAAAAAAAAAAGAAAGCGATTAATTAATTATAAAACTAGTCAATTAAGAAAAAAAAATTTTTTTTAATGCTTACTAGGCTGAATTATTTCCAAATATTTTTTGAATTGGGTTGAATGGTAAAGCATAACCACAATGATCATCGACTAAATTGATTGATATAAAAAAATTAAAAATTTTTAGTTAACCAAAAAAAAAAAATAATAATTATCATTATCATTATTTGATTGATTTTTTACCAGTCTTCAAAGTAGCAAATCCAAAAAATAACATTCCTCCTCTGGTTGATAATCCTGAAATTTTAAATGACAAACCTGCACCCACTGTATCCATTATAAATCCTTCAATTGAGAAAAAAACATAAAACATCCTTTTTTTAGCATTTTGCGCAGTTCTGGCAATTTGCAGCCAATTTTCTCCATGTTTTATTTGATTCTTTACTTGGTACAGTATAAAAATGAAACCAAGTTTCATCACCTGTGATATTATTAAGTCAATTATCAAGGATTTCTAACAATTGCTTAGAAATTTCAACCCAATTTTTTTTTATTTTCAACAGTTAAAACATGTGGGACCCATTTTTTACAAATTTTATGAACTTTATTCATTATGTAAAACACTTTGAATACATCCTCTAGAAATACCTATATTCTCTTCAATAGCTGTAATTGTCATATGAGGATCATCACTAATTAAATCATAAACTTTTGCAATGTTTTCAGGGGTGGAAGTTCTTGAGGACATCCGGAATGTGAATCATCTTCAACACTATTTTTTCACTTTCAAATGCTTCAATCCAATGATAATTAGATGCTAAAGATATTGCATTAGAACCTTAGCAACCTGTAATTCCTGTTGAATTTGTTTAGCTGGTTTGCTATTTTTCCAGCTAACAAAAATTTAGTATCTTTTGGTATTTACATTTTGAATTTTCCATTTGTTTCTACTGGTAAACTTTAAAAATTACAACTAACAACAAATGACTCAATTTTAATGATTTTTTTTATTTATTTAAAAGATTGTGACTTAAGGGTTTTTTATTCCCGCTTTTACTTTTATTAAAGAAAAGGTCATCAAGTTACATGTATTTTCTCAAAACTTTTTGTACAACCCACATATTCTGATCATAGTAAAGGACTTTTTTTTGGGATATGGTGATGCAGAAAGGTGGAAAAGAGTAGCCGAATTGTATGGTACAACGAAACCATCTCAGGAAAAAAGATCTAAAAAAGGTTCTGTTATAGAACACCAGATACAACAAATGAGTTTTAAAAATAATGCAATTGAAAATCTCCCACAGAATTACCAATCACAAAAATTTATGTTATATAACAGCTTTATTAGAAGCATTAGCAGTAGGGAGGGTGAGAAGGCTTTTACGTATTTCTGATTAAATTTGACCATTTGAATCTGCAAGGTTTTTAGCCATTTTAGATGATGATTTTATACAATAAAAATCATTACTATTGATTATTTTTTGGTAGGTTTGTAAAGCAGTTAAAAACGCACATAATTCAATAATTTTGAAATTTGTATGACCATTTAATAAAGCTCTCGCCTAGTGGTTATATCCGCCGAATGATATTCATCACGTTTTTTATTGTTAATTAATTGAACGAAAATTTTTTAATACATGTAATCGATAACACACTATTTATCTCCACAGTCTCCAGAATTAGATGATGTAGGTTATTCAGCGGTAAGGCTCCAAACAAATCGAATCTAGTCGAATTTTAAAGTGATTCGATTTGAATCAAATCGGATTCTCTTCAATGTCATATTAATAGGGTTTCTTATTCGAATAAGGTTTTTCGAATGATTTTTTTATTCGTTATGAATTTGATTTTTCGAAATACATTCGAATAAAACGAATAATTCGAATAAGAATTTGTATTCCGAGTAGAAACTCTGCATATTAATATTAATAACGATAACAAACAAAGTAATATAATTTACAGTTGCACGATTCATTGTTTTAATTTAAATAATAAATACAACAATGATGAATGACGATAATTGCATTGTTGAAAATGATGCCTCTTCAATTACTTCTTTAACAGGCACGGTGCAATATGTTCAATGAAGAACAAGAAGTGAAGTATGGAACCATTGGTTCGAATTTCATCGATTCGTTTGGAACCATTATATTCGGTGAGTAATCGAGTAATCACCTATTATCTTAGTGCAAGGTTTTTTAGTTTGACTGATTATCTGGATGATCAATGGATACAGCCACCACTCTCGCCAAGTTTTCTTCATAAAAAGCATTGGTTTTTTTTTTCAATGCATAAATTTAGCAAACATTTTTTGTTTTGATTTTTTTCTAGAATTACACAATGAATCTAAAGTCTTTTTATATCATTGATCGTTATTGTTAATTTATAAGGTCCAACATGAGTGAAAGAAAGAAAAGTTAATAAGTAATCTTTAATTATTAAATTTTTTTTTTGTAAAAAATGATCTACTGTCTCCGTTTGAGTTGGGAAATAGAAGAAACCCTAATCGCGGAATATCATAACGTTCCACTTTTTTGATTTTGCTCTCAAAAAATTCTTGATTACAGATTTCCAATATCATTATTAATCAATAATAATTATTCCAGCTTTTGCAATTTTTTTTCCTATAATTATTTAAATAAATTCTTTATAAATTATTTTAACGGTTCTATTTGCTAAAAATGGGGGTCTAGCTCAGATGGTAGAGCGCTCGCTTAGCATGCGAGAGGTACTGGGATCGATGCCCAGGTCCTCCACTTTGAACTTTTTTTCTCAACTACTTTCATTTTTGCGTGTAACCAATGATTTTTGGTTGGTTGAAAATTAATCATCATAAAATTCATTTTGAAATATTAATATTAGATGTAATAAAATCCAATAAAAAAGATTGCTAATTTTAAAATAAATAATCAAGAAAATGAAGAAAATAAGTCCAATTGAAAAATATTGTCGATTGAATGGATTGTCTGTTCATTATGCGTTTATTTGTGGTAAAGTTGGAACAAATGAAATGAAAACTGGTAGGATTGACTGAGGGGTATAAAGTAATTAATTGAACAAAATTAATTTATACATTTTGATTTGTGATTATCTTCTTTTCATACTATTGTCGTTGTTATTATTATTAGGTTGGAAAATCTATCGATGGCTTTAACATCATTAACAGAGACTGTGAAATTCCAATATTTTGGATTCTTTATAATTGGGAGATAAAACACGTTAGTAAGCTGTAAATCCATAATTTCAATGTTATACGAATTGAATTTAAGAAAATGTTTTGACATTTAAATTTTAATCAAATTTTTTCAGATTTATAGAATTACTAAATTTAAAACAAATCAAAGGAGGAAAGTTGGAATTCCAGAATTGATAAAAAGAATATGTAAAGCGGTAGTAAATTTTGTATTGTAAGTCCTCAAGGCGTTGAAATTAAAGAGGCTTGGAAGTATATATCTGAATTGTTACATATAAAAAAGATTGTGTCTAATTACATATCTATATGTATATTGTGTGTGAATATGCTGATAATTGAGACTAAATCATAATAAATTATATAATATAACACAAGAATTATTTTGTGAATTTTTTTTTATTAAAAGGCAATAAACTATATTCACATATTTGTAAAGATTTAGAGAAATATAGAAACGATAAATATTGTTGTATGTACATAAAAAGAAAGAAAAAATAAAAAAGAAAACTTGTAATCAAATTAAACGAATCATTCACTTTTTCCAATTACTTAATAGTAACAATGCATTTTTCATACTTGCCAAATGCAATTCAAATGGAATATCTACGAGGAGTGGCTTGTCTATTCCACTGCTTAAAACGTTTAATTGCGTTTCAAATAACTTTAACTGATGTTTAATGTTCATGATTGAATCAACCATCAATTTTTTTCTATCGTCAAATTCTTCAAGAAGTTTCAAGTTTCTGTCAAAAATAATTGTATTGATTTGACCATCAAAAATTGACCACAATTCGGAAATCACCTTGTTGTGATCTTTTACAATTATATCCTTTTCTTTTTCAACAATGTTAGCAATTTCTGATTGAATAGCTTGCGAATTCAATACTCTATTGAAAGCACGTATAATAATCATTATTTATTAATGATTGATTACCTTATAGTGAATGAATTTATAATAGATAAATAAATAAAAGTTTATATATCTTTACCCAAGTAAAATATCATTAGTTGATGTAATCAATTTTTTAAGATGGTTATCAGTAGCAACTATAAGTCGACGAAAAATTCTATCTATAACTTTTAGGTGACGTGGCGTCAATGTTTCATCCCTCATATCTTCTAATTTTGTTAATGAGTATCTTATATAAAGCATTGATAAAGAGGCTTGTGATTGGATTTGCAGCTCTCGTAGATTCTTGTTTATTTTATGATCCCAATCAATAAATTTTTTCAAATAAACTGTTAATATCGGTGCAGAGTCCAAATTTGAATATTCCACAACTCTTAAAAGATCTTTGAATGCCATTTCTTTTATTTGTTTTATTAGAGGTCCATTAGAGGATGAACCGAATCTTGAGTTATGTTTGATCAATTCATTTTGAGTTTCAACTTGTAAATCAATAAGTCTTTTAAAGTTAGGAAGAGAAATCATGCAAGTTCTAGGAAAATAATTTTCTGATCCAGGAACTATTCTACAAAAATAATCAACAGCTATAGGAGAAGTATTATTATATGCAATGTGACCAATATAATATGAAGCAAAGATAATAAATAATGATAATAATAGTTGTTTTCGAGTTGATGATGATTTAATGTACTTGGAAACAGTTTGCAAACGACAATTAATCTGGTGGACGGTTCTATTAATTTTCTCAGAAATCCTTTGCAATCGATTTGTTTTTACTCTTAGAAGTTGACTAATTTTAGAAATATCAAGGTTTCGATTGTATTCAATCACATATGCATATTTTTGAAAGACTGGTAAAAATGACAGTCCATAAATTTTTGGAAATGAGGGATCTTGAGAACGACGATTGTAATTTTCCTTTGCCTGTTATATAATATTAAATAAATAATAATAATAAACGTTGAATCACACATAGATGATAGATAATAAAACAATATTACTTGCATTTTTAATCAAATTCGGTAAATGCGCTTCATCAATAATAATCAAAATAACTTTAGTGGGACCTGTCCGAGCTTTTGTGAACGCATCATTTTGATCAATTAAAATTTTTTCTCCAGCTAACCATGTACCCATAAATATATTATTTATGATTCCAATATCTTCAATGCGCTCAGACGGAATCCATTCCCAATACTCTTCATAGTCATTGGCCTTTTTCACATGATTTTTTATAAAATTATCAATGATATCATTTCCACTTGAAACAAGCTTCTCTTCTGCAGTTTTGGCATCACAATTATTACACCATGTAAAACCTGTGTTTGGATTTTTACATTCAACACAAATTCCGTTATTCTTGGCAAGGTTTCCAATATCTTGTGGGATAATAATGCGTTTATTAGTAGACAATGGGATCTGTGAACTATCGTAAAAATGCATATTTTTTTATTTTGTAACTGTCATTTGAATGAAGAATCAATCTGTGTGAGAGAACTTTTGAAAAATTTAGACGATCGTTACTAAACTAAGGATGTACATTTTTTCCAGAAACCTTTCAAAAAAATTTTGAACATTTTTATTCTAATTCAAAAAAATATTACTTGACAAGGTATATATAATTTTTTATACGAATAGAAACTAATCCTTGGATATTATTTTTTTTAATGAACATAAAATACAAAAATTATGCCAAGATCTCTAAAAAATGAAAGAATATTTAATTTTATTTATTATTAACAATATAATACAATTAAAAATGCGATTTAAGCAGTTAATGAATGCTCTCCACAAAACAAAAAGATCAAGCCCTGCATAAAACGCAGTTAATATTAGTTAATAATCTATAAAGGCACATAATTATGATATAAATACCATCATAAATAAATAAAAAAAAGGCAAGCACTTATTTAATTGTTTAATTGATCTATTAAAAATTTTGATAAAAATGGGAAATGATTTTTACCAGTATCTTAAATATATTTTCTACGCGGCTTTCACTTTCTTCTCTAGATGCATTGGCATGCATTCACTCGCTTGATCGGACGAGAATAATGGTGTTATATTGTTTAATAACATCTGTGCAACATATTATTACTTTTTTACTAGTCCTCTAACTTTGTTGTTATATTGAAAATTCTTTGCAGTACTCAAAAAAGTTGTTCTCGTCACAAGGTTAGTTTAAAATTATTTTTATATTCTATAAAAAATTGGTACTCGCTTGAAATATTTAAGCAAATAAAATTTTTATATAATTATTAATAGCATACATGCTTCAATTGTGATTATCTAATTACCCACACCCACACATAAATCATTTATAATAATAGTAATGGTAATAGTAATAGCGCGACGGTAACAATATAATAATAATGAAATTGCAAATATAACCATGGATTAGTTTGTCCCAATTACAATCATTTTTGGTAATTTAAATGTCCAATTTCCTTCCACACTAATCATGATACACAATTCTTATCTTCAAGTTGACGCACCTCTCCAAGTTGATGCGCTTCTGCTTTAATATTTTAAAGATTTGAATTTTAATTGGTGTTATTTTAATAAATCTTTATTAAATTGCAAATAATGGTTGTTTATAAAGAAATTGTTTTATGAAGAATATAAATTTATTTATTTAGCATAGCAGCAAAATTTTGTTAATGTGTTGTTCGATTTTAATCCTCAAAACAATGTGGTATTATTATAAGTAAAACATAATAATGTCAATCAATATAAACAAATTATAAAATATAAATAAAAAAAACTTGTTACTTCCATATACTGATAACACGCACGTATTATTTAACGTCCCCACTGCGTGATATTACGTGATTTATCCATCAATACTACTCGCTGTTTTCACCATTACGTTCTTTCCATTCTTTGAATTCTTTGCATTTTCGATATTTTCCGAGATTTACGTTTTCAAAGACTGTTAGTATTTTATTACTTGTACAGATAGGTATATTCACACACAATATACATATAGATATGTAATTAGACACAATCTTTTTTATATGTAACAATTCAGATATATACTT